CCCCCAAGGGAGCTTACTACACCACGTCGCGAAGGGAGTCACATTGCTCGTACTGCAGCTTCTTCGGTGAGCACCCCCTCGATTGTTCACCGCCACTCCCTTCGAGGTACGGTGCCGTTTCCGTCCGCCAATTCATACGCCGCGAGGAGATGGTTTTGGGAGACGCGCCCCCCGACATGCTCCCGCCTGAGGCCCGTACAGGTGTGTCACCAACATGCGGACGCTGGGTTTGTGTGCGATGCAGTGGGCCATTGCTGCGTCGAATGCGAGACTCTGCAACCGCAGAGGTTCCGTTCGTCTTTACTCTCGTTGCGGCAGCAGCACCTGCTGCAGCGGAGATGGTAGGCCGCTGTCGCGTTTTTGCTGCTCCTGACGTCATCGGCCACTCACCTGGCCCATTTCTCACACCCCTGGCCTTTGCGCCGCGGTTGGCGGAAGCAGCAGCTCCAGCAGCAGCAGGAGCATGAGTAGCTGGAGTGTGCGCGTAGCCGTTGACCCTCTTTTGATCCGGGGTCTCAGGCCTTCGGCGAACGAGTGGGGAGGGCGTTCGTCGAGCATTCTCGCTGGATGGCGCCCGCCGGCACGCGGTAGAAGATGTGTTTCGCACCCGCGTCAGCGTCGGCTGAGAACTTCCTGCTCTCTGCTTCGTGGAACTGCCGCATCGCTCCGCCGTACTCTCTGAGATACAAGAATCCGATGCTTTTTTGGGGCGAAGAACGATACCTTTACTCTGGCAAATCTTTTCGTGCATTTCAGTCATCCGCGCGTTGCTCTCCCACATGTTATTCCAGAACTTTTCTGCCTGCTTCGGGTTTGTCGGGGGCGGAGTGTATATGCTGCGTGTGTGGCACATGGTCGTGGCAGCGGCAGGTCGATCACCAAATAAGGCGGAGCTCCGCAGCGGTCCATCTGTCTTTGCGTTATTCCTCGTACTGCTACGGTCCTTAGCAGCACTGCACACCTGTGTGCTGTTAGCGCTAACAGATTTCCCACAGAACTTCGACCGTTCCGCACTAAAATGCCGCGTAGGTGTGTTGCTCTGTTCTCTCCGTGAGACAGGTGTGAGGCGGCGGTCTGGCGTACCGATGCGCAGCGCTGTGGTGGGAGGCATCCGCAGCAGAATGTGTACAATGTGGCTGTTATGCAAGGTGGAGTGTCGTTACCCCGTTTACCGTGACTTCAACACGGGTGGACACCAAAAAAAAAAAAAGTATGCGGATAAGTGAGGGCACGAAGGAGAAAGAGAGAGAAAGTGTGTGTGTGTGTTTGCATGTGCTTGTTGGTTTAAGAATGAAAGCAGCCCAACTCATGGGGGCACAAAACGTCAAAGAGACAAAGAACCACAGAGAGATCTCGCGTCCCCCCAGACGGTCAACTGCGAGTACAGAGCGCGGAATTATGTTTCGAATTCACACACCCCACGCCGCCAGCCGGACAGCCAAATTGCACAAGTGCGATAAACTCCACGCGGCACTGACCTCCTCCAGTGAGCGGAACGCCCAGCGCGACTCCTCTTCGTCGTCGCCGCGCCTTCCGTCCAGTGGGTGCGACGACGCCGCGTCGCGGTGCAGCAGGAGGACAAAGTACAGACGACCCCCGTCCATCTCGCTGCCGCTGCGCACCACGTGAAATACTGAGCCGACGTTCGTGAAGCGCAGCCGACGCGCCGTCGAGCCGAGCGCCTGAAACACGACAGCACAGAGCAGCGCAGACTCCTGCTGCGCGCGCAGCCCCGCATTCGCCGAGAGGCGCGAAGCGGGGAAGACGAAGTTTAGCACCCAGTGGTCGAGTCCCTGTCGCACTTCTGTGCCGTCAGGGCTGGCAAGCATTGTGTAGCAGTTATTCTGCCACGCCCGCCTTCCCGGCCGGTGCGTGCAGTCTGTGAGGACAAACAGCGTCGCACCGTGCCGCTCGTGTGTGGCGTTCCAGAGTGCCTCCGCCAGCAGGTGGCAGCCACACGCGTCCAGGAGCTCTCTCTCGCTGCACGGTGTGTCTGCGAAGCTCAAGTAGTAAGGCGGCTGTGGCACAACGAACGCCACCTGCAACGACTCTTCCTCACCACCGAGACGCTGCATGGAGTCGCCACGCACAATTGACGGAACCTCACGCCGCGACTTTGTGCTGCTTGTCAAAGCATCTACCGACACAGACGGCGCCAGCGTGAGGACTCGCGTGCACCGCAGCGAGGCAATGTCCCCGGCGCTGGAAGAGGCGTTACCAAAGTCGCCGCGCCTTCCTTGTTGCTTCTGCATGATTGAGTTGTTTTGCGAAAATATCCTCTCCATTGTTTGTAGAGAGTCCTCGCTATGTGTGGCCTTGTCACCGCCATCCTCCTCCCCCTCCTCTTCCTCTTCATTCTCCTCGTTCTCTTGCAGAGTGTTCTCGTGCGGTCTGACAAACGGTAGCGTCAATAGACAGCTGCGGAAAAGGAGCGAGAAACCCCCGTACAGTGACCACACAAGGCGCTGCAGAATCCAAAGAAAAGGGCAACATGTTGGGAACAGCCTCTTCGGTCCCGTGCAAAAACGCAATGCCGCATCTGCACCTCGACGGTCTGAGAGATCACCGCACATTTTATCATCATGGCAATCTTGACGCACGCAATTTGCAGTCTGGGCATCTGAGAACAAACCGGCACGCTCCCACACCGCCTGAAGTTCAGTCATCTCTTGCTGTGCCTCGTATGCTGTGTACATGTACCGCACAACATTCATGATGTCAACGCACGTTGTGGAGTTCTCAATCATCCCAGAAATGCATTCCAACAGAATAACTCGCACTGCAAGCGCCTTTTGTAATATGAACAGAAAATACATTAAACATGGTGCATTCCCTGACTCTATTGCAACAAGCGTCTTCTGTGCCGCCGACTGAGCCGCACGAATCCACTCCATGTTGTTGGCGCATCGCACCTCAGACCAAGACACAGCAAATATATGCGGGGGAACCTCCGACGACGATGCCGACGGGCACACGGAGCGGAACAGAAGAGACCAAAGTCCACGGAACCACACCAGGTGGTCGCTGTACGTCATCACCGCCGAAATATATTCGTGACGTGTGAGACCACCTGTAAGTTCCAGCGGCTCCCCAAGATTCACCCAGGCGAGCCGGCCGCTGCGCAGTGCGGCATCAAAGGCGGCGTCGCCTTGATTCAGTGCTCGCGTGAGGACCAGCAGGGCAGACACCGCCTTCCCTACATCGGCGGACAGCGCGGACAGGGGTGGGAGCTGCTGCGGCTGCCTACCCATAAAACTCAGTGCCGCCTCCCGTGCCACGCTAAGCAGTCCCTCTTCCGATAAGCTCTTCATCACACGCGCATGGATGCCTGCATCGTCCATTCCCTTTCTATCCGATGCCGTATTTAATAAAAATATAAATAAATAATAACAGTAAAAGGCAACAAAAAAGCACGACGAAATGCAAAAAAAAAATTGACTCAAAAGCAAAAGAGAAGACATAAAAGAAGTAAAATTTAGCCATATGATCTCACAAAACTATTAACACACACTTTAACGACGAACTTGTACATGGCACCACAACAGCCTCATTCCTGTGCAACGCGGTCTTTTTGTGCTGGACGCGTATTCTGCAGTGTTTCAAAGATTTCTCGCGCCCAGGGATGTTTGATCTTTTCGCCTGACTTAAAAAACGAACCAAGGTCTTTTTCCGGGTACGCCTTCTCATATGCGTGTGCTTGTGTCACCATCTCTAGAAGGTCAATGTCTTTCAGAAACTGCGCCTCAGGCGAATTCTGTGCTTCGTACTCTTCCCAGAATTGCGACAGCTCATTTGAGAGGGGAGAGTCCCCCCCAAGCAGACTGCTAAGATGCAATACTGCTGCCTTTTCCTGACGGTACTTTTCATCCTTGGGCACACCCATCTTCGGTGATATGTCACCAATGATGCTCTCCCCAGCGTCGTGGCAGAGCGCCATGCGGATCAACTTATTTTTGTCAAGTGATGTGTCGGGGCACATCATGCACATGACGGCTGCGCGATACATGTGGTCTGACACCGACTCTGGTTTGGGAATGCCCGCCTCAACCCAGCCGGTTCGTTCGGTTTCCTTCAGTTTCCCGAGAGTGTGAAGGAATGAAATCGTGTCAGACGACATGTTAAGCCAGCTGTCACGAAGTGGAGCTATCTACTGTGCGGAGAGACGCAAACAGCAGCACAACAAAGAGAACAAAGACAACAAAAAAAAAACACATAATGGCATTTGTCAGAAAAGGCTGCAACAAACGTATACATAGCCCAACAGAGCAAGAATACAACAAGAAAAGGAACAAGCCCAACAATTTCCACCCACAATGAGGAGCGATACCGACAGGAAGAAACAAAATCCGTAAAGGTTGTGGCGCTGAACAACTCACAACCATCATCTTCCACCACCACCACCACCACTATCACAACACCAACAACACAATAACATTGTCACTCGCGGGCCGTAAAGGACGTTGGGTTACCGTGTGCGTCAAGAAGAGGTTCATCGTAGCCTATTGCCCGTCGAAGGGTGACGCCTCGGAAGGCCTTCATGCTACGCAGAAGTTGCCCGTCAGCGGAGTCATACACAACCATCATACCATCATCTTCTCTCGCCTCTGGAACCTTCTTTGTGAACTCAATGTGTACGTTTGAATTGAACTCGGCCATAAAGCTCCACTTTTTGATGCTCTCAAAGATATCCCGATCGGGCTTCCCACCATCGAAGACGACATCAATCTGAGTCATTTTCTCAGTGGCGCCAAACACGCGTCGCCAGCGTGGGGTATCCACTGTGCGTACAAAGACCTTGGAGATGGCCTCATACGCAAATAAAAGGAGATGGAGCTCCAACTGTGCCACTGGTGGTATCTTTGGGCGGTTGCGCAGCAGCTCCAACACCCGAGACGGCTCTACGCGCTGCATAGTAAGTTTACGCGTGTCAAACCCACAGCGAAAGCTCCGCTCGAACAAATCCTCCTCAATATCGCCATTTTTGCGTTTCATATCGGTGCTTCGATCCTTGGGGCGCATGCTTTTCTGCCTCGCGAGCTCCACCATTTCTGGGTACGTGATAAACTTACTGGTGCGCTGACCAGGGTTGACGAGAAGACCGAATTGCGAGGGCTGAAGCGCAACAGTCGCAAGCGCACTGAAGTGCTGCATGCCACCAACGGCCGCAACGGGGAATGGCAACTTACAGAACTCCTCATAGCGAGTGCCCATTCTCGGAATAGGGAACCAACACGACTCGAACGCTTCTACACGAGAGAAGTAGTGGTCAAGATACTCCTCCATGGAAAAGATTGGCAACACGAGCATTCCATTTGGCATCTGCATCAGCTCAGGAAGTCGTCTCTCCTCACATTCATCTAAGTTGATCCACAGCTTCTTGCCCTTGGGGAAGACGTCTGTCGGATCCTTTTGCAGTTCGCAGCACATCTCAGTCGTGCGAAGAAAGAGGTACACTTCCTTCCATCCTTCGTGATCAGGACCCTCGTTGTGTACAGCGTCCAGCGCGGCCCGCAGTCGATCCAACCTTGAATGGTTCTTCATGTACTGGTTGCTGCCCATAATCTCCTTTGTCATGTGCATCCGCTGCTCCTCCGGCACGTAAGGAGGATCGTCTGGCGTCACGTTGTGCGCATCTGCACCGAAAAGAGACATGGCGTCCTTCAGGCGATCAGGCACCGTCGGCTGCTGGCGGTATCCCTTGTTCGGAATTCGCCCTTGAAAGCGCCGCTGCGTACTGGCAGCCCCAGCAACAGGAGCCGCAACGGCCGCATTAGCCACGCGGGAGCGACCGCTGTGAAGCGGGCAGGGGGTGAGCAGACGGAGCCTCATCTGGGAGAGGAAATATCCGTCTCCCGCCAACAGCCTGAAGTGTATCCCTACATCGTATCCACGGGGAGTAGACAAGCAAAAAAGAACAACACACCAGTACGATTCACAAAGCAAAGCCAGAAAGATAAACAAACAAAGGCACACGCACCAAAGCAAAAACAAAAAAAAGAAGCGAACACTTGAAACACGGATATCATTTTTTTTTTCTTACGGCAGTACGCCGCCTGAAAAAAAAAAAGAACAACAGACGTCTCAGGAACCTGCGAGTGGCGGGCACACTTCGATTGTCAGGTGTTCGAACGCTCCCGCTTTCGAGTAGGATCCACAGCACGCTCCAATAGGATGCGCTCCATCCGTGCGGGCGCGACATTCTCCACCAGCGAAAGATACTCTAGGCGGTCACGATGCAAGATGAAACTTGCCAGTGTATCTCGATGTTGGTAGCGCAACCAGTCGTCTTTGCTGCTCTCCAACGTCAGCGTCCCTTCATTCCGCAGCAGGACCTGCTCAATGTGAGGCTGGTACGTCAGCCCGGGCCGTACAAACGGATCACCCATCAGAGTGGGGTAGACAAGGGAGGCGCACTGTCGCTCAGTTAAAATAAAAGTAAAAAGAGTAAGAGAAAGAGAACATTAGCACTACAGTAGTGCATCACAATAATGAAACTCAACTCACAGTTATGGACACATCCAAAATAGCACATCACAGCGCAGTACCTCACCGTCTACGAGCACATAAAGACATCCAGGCAAGATTTAACATACAACGTCTAATCTACCACATAGCGACCGGGTTCCCCGCCCAGAATCTCCTCAATCTCCTTAATCAACCGACGCTGGGCTACCCGATCATCAAGCGTCCTCGCACCACCAGGTGCAGGCACATTGTTCACACCACGCCGAAGTGAGGACGGAATTGAGGTGCCAGCAGCACCTCTACCCTTCTTCCTTGCATCTAGTGNGCGCGCATTGGGCCGCTTCGGCGAGGCGGTTGCCGAACGCTCCACCGGCGTCTCCACAAGCGCCTCTAGCTCCGCCACAATTTCTTCAGGCCACTTGGCGTTCGGCGTGCTGCCACAGTCCTCTGTAAAGCTCGAGAGCTCCACGCTGCCCGGACTTGGCAATCTCTCTTGTGACTTCCGGGAAGACGACACCAGCGGTGGTGGTGGTGGTGGCGGTGGTGCCTTCAGCATCGTGTTATTCGTCTTCGCCAAGAGCTCTCTCTGCCTTCGGAGGAGCTCTGCCTCGTGCTGCTCCAACAAACACTGCTCCTTATCAAGCGCACTAAGCTGAGAGGGTGATCTGCTCACCGACTGTCTTGTCACAACCGTCTTCGCCTTTTCTCTCTGAGAGCGGGGTTCACGGTGCTTAGAGTCTGTAGTCGTATCCCTTTTCAAGCGCCCGCAAACCCTCGAGGATGAGGATGATGACGACGCCAGGCGATACGGCAAATGGCACGGAGACGCCGGTGCCTCCACACCTTCTGCTCCATTCTGCATCAAGGTATCTTTATTCCGTGACGAGATGGCGCGCGCCGAATTCGCCCGTCTCAAGGGTTGTGGTGTCGTCGCACCCTCAGGTTGTGAATAAATGGGCGATTCACCAAAGGCGGAGCGCACGTGCTCGCCTGTTGGGTGGCCCCACGGCTGCGGACCGTACCGCTGCTCGAACCGCAAAAGGCTATCCACGAATGCACTTCTACTGATTGCATCCATGTCATTAAAATCAGCTGCGAGTGCCGCAACAACACCAGAGTCCCCCGGGAACAGCTCCCGAACCTGTCTCTTGACATCCTGCAGCTGCAGAGATGTTGACTTCTCTGAGGGGGCGTACTTGAAGAAAAGCGCACGAAGACGCATTAGACGGAGCTCATCCAATGGTGGACGCTCCGAGAGGTTGTAGGTAGAAGACGAGGGTTGCTGCCTCTTCTGGCTATGGCCGTCTCTCAGATTGGGGTGATCTTGCCGTCTATACCGCTCCGCCAACTGAGGCTTCGGCGTGAGCGGCTGCGTAGCGCTACGCACGTACTCCTCCTTCGCAGCCTCGTGGTTTCGGTCGCAGATCTCCTGCCACTTAAGCAGCCGCGCCGCTAACTCTTTTGCCGCACCTGGGGAGATCTGAAATCCACCAATCACGCGGTTGTCAGCTCGTTGTTCCAAAATACGCTCCCTCAGCTGTTGCCTGATGAGGCGATGGCCGCCCTCAAAAAAGAGCCGCTCACCGGCGTCATGGAAGGGCTCACTCTTGCGGCGCATCTCAGCCATTTTCTCCGAAGCTGCTGTCAGTGTTGGCTGAAACGTGCACCCCGCCGTGATGCGGTCCATCCGTTCCCGCTCTCGCAGCAAAAAACTCTTTGCCATCTTTTCCTTTGTCTTATCGTAGCGCTCGTGTGGGGCTGCATAGCCCGTCTCTCCCAGACATTTGGCCAGTGAAGTGATCTGCGGTTTGAATGTTGGTTTCTCCTCCTTCTGCTTCATTACTTTCTCATGTTCAGCCCGCAGGCGATCAAGCTGCCGCTGCTGCCCCACCGCAGCTGCGTACAGGCGCATCCCCGCCTTCGTCGCTACTGGGGATATGGCCCTCGGCGCACTCGAGGCGCGCTTCTCCTCCCGCTTCGCCTCTTTCAATTGATCCACATACTTCCGCTGTGACCTTGCCCTGGAGGCAGCGGTGGGTGTCGTGAGACGCTCCATGGCCTTCGGGTCACTGCGCCGTGGCTTCTTCACTGGCTTTCTTGCTTGCTGCTGTTGGTGTTGGGGCCCTTTTTGTTTCTCCTTCTTTTGTTGACCTGTATGGGTCCGGTGAGGCCGCCCTTCCTCTGTCGCTCTGTCAGACCCCACACGGTGAGCGTCCTCACTACGAATGCCGCGAAGGGCTTGATACAAACGCTCCTCCTCATTGCTACTCCTCGCGTCAGAAGACTCATTCCATAGGTCGTCGTCTTCAATGATGATGTGCTTCGGGTTCGTCACGAGGCTCATTGAGGTGACTCAGCGCAAATGCGCCACACAACGGCCAACGTGTTTCCACGCCCCAGGTCGAAGCACAATCTATCTACACGTAGAAATAAAAAAAAACAGGTAAAAAAAAGAGAGACGAGAGCTGTGTGCAAAGATAAATATATATATATATATATAAATTAACATCTAGACTTGCAATCTGCTTAGTCTCGTTATTTTTCTCGTCATTTCCTCCGTTCTCGTCACTTATCCGCATTATGATACACCCTCACACACACACACACATATATATATACTCTCTCCCCCCCTCAGACTTTTTTATGGTCCTCTGCAGTTAATCGTCGTCCTCGTCGTCGCATGACTCCCACTCCGGCTCCTCCAAATCCAAGTTGGCGTTACCATCCTCATTCGTATCATTGCAGTCGTCCTCTTCATCGTCTTCCGGCTGGAGGAGCTCGATGGGGTTGGGGTGGTCGAGGTTGGGGATGTGCTCGACAGCCGCTGGGCCGCCCATCTCATCCACCAGCAGCGCAATAGCAGCGTCCACCTCCTGCAGCGCCCCTGCGTCGCCGTCGGAGATCGTCAGCATTACGCGTGCACGCCGCAGAAGCCGCGCCGCGTCGACATACCGCTTACGCATCCGCGCGGACTCCCCCAACAGGAACCAGATGTACGGGTTGTTGTCGCCATACTGCAGAACCTCTAAAAGGAACCTGTAGGCGTCGTCGGGCGAAACCTGCATCAGCAGCCGGGCTAGCTCCACCTTCGACTCGTACGTCGGCTGGTGCGCCTCGCTGAGGCGGTGGGTCAAGTTAACCGCACAGCGCAGCGACTGCAGGGCCTCGTCGGGGCGGCATTGGCTCAGGCGCAGTGACGCCTGCAGTTGGTGCGCCTCCACACTCTCCGCGTTAAACTTCAGTGCGTGGGTCACCGCTTCTTCGCAGCGCTGCTCCGCATCCGGGTTGTAGCACAAGTCAGTCAGGTAGAGCTCCGCGATGGCGCAATACACAGTGGAAAGCGTTTCCTTGAGACCCTCCCGCTTCCTCTTCTTCCGACAGGACTGAAGCTCAACATGAACTATTTGAATGGCTCGCTGGTAACAATCCAGAGACTCGTCGGCGTCACAGAGCTGGGCGAGATTGAGGTACTTGACGTAGCCACGCTGCGGGTCCACCTCAATGGCGTGGCGCAGCATCTGCTTTGCGCGAGGGATGTCCTGCATGTAGTGGATCATCAGCTCCGCGTACGCCTCAAGTACATCAATGCTGTTTGGAGTGCGCGTTAGGGCGACTTCGTAAAACTCTTGTGCGGCTTTTATGTTCCCCACATCCACCGCATTCTGTGCTAGTGCTAAAAGCGTCTTGACGTCCATATCAGCAACTACAATGCTGAAGCCACCGTGCTGGCTGCCAGAAAGGGACGCAGGCACACAGAAGCTACAAACAAACAAAAAATAAGAAGAAGCCGGTAACAAAGAAAATGAAGAAGATAAGACGAGTAAAAAGAGGAAGACACACAAAAAAAAACAGTATAGTGGATATGAGAATGAGAAAAGGCATCACATTTCCACCCATCTCTTCGTCTCTACACAAAGCAAATGATCATAGAAAGTCTCTCACAGCAATAAGAATCATTGCTCTATGTGACTTTACATGGAGAGCGCATCGCATGGCAGGGCAAGAAGAAAGGCATCACGACTCCTCGTCAAAGAGGAAGAACTGTTCTGCGAGCAAAAGCCGGTCGAACATGTAGGCAAGCTCCGCCTCGTAGTCCACCTCATCCGTAGAGTTCCGCACCGCTTCAATGCGGAGCAACCGTAAGTCACGGTTCGTGAGGTGATAGGGCGCGTTGGCGAGGGCATGCTGGTACTGTTCGATGGGGAGGAGTCCAGTACCCGCCTCGTCAACATAGCGGAAGATGCGCAGGAACTCCTGCTCGACATCGCGCCTTGACAGACCGTGCACGGTGGCGTCTTCGAGGTCACTTACTTCAAACTCGTGTTTCGATTTTTGGAAGAATTGAACCGCACGAACCGCCTCGCTGGCGAAGGCTTTATAGTCTACCATGTCGCTCTCTGCTACTGACGTGGATGTCAGGGTGTACAGCACCTGCGATGGCGTCAGGCCACACGACTCCAGCAGCGCCTGCTTGATGGTTTGCATGGGCAGAGTGTCAGTACTCTCCGTGTCAAGTCCCGCAAACATCTTGGTGAGGCGCTGCAGAAGCACCTCACGCTCCTCATCCTCCACAATGGCCGTGTAGTGCTCCGGTGGTGGCTGTCGCGCCTGCAGAGGGTCAGTTTCGAGCGCCAGCTGCTTGAAGTAGTTCGCGCTCCACTGTAGCACGTCATCTGGCTGGGCACGGAGCACTTCGCGGGCGTATTCCTTCAGAACGCCGGGAAAGTTTGGCGGGAGGTGCTGACGCGGCTGATAGCGATTTGCTAATGTGCGCTCACGGAATGTCTCCATCTCGTACATCTTTTATTTTTTCTCTCCTGCTCGCTGTGTGTCTGTGTTTATTTTCTGTGAGCGCCTGGGTGCTTCCGGAGTCGCTGCTGTTCCCGCATTCAACCCGGGATGGCAGTAAATAGAGATGAGGCAGAAACAGACAGAACAAAGGCAAAAAAAAAGGAAAAATACATACAGTACGCACAGCCACGTGAGAAAATGCGAAAGATACCAAGAAGGAAACGAAGAAAGAAATGGGGATAAAAGGGAGCACCATGTGAAGGAAAGGGGCAACCAAAGTTGCATCTGTACTCATTCTCTATATATGCTTATATATATATATATATATACCTGCGAGACGTCATGCGCTACATCGTCACATCGACAGTTTCACGCACCCGTGGGGCACTAACAAAAAACAAAAAAGCCACTTCTCTCAATTTCCGCCGTACAATGCCACTTGGGAGAGGAGAACGCAGAGGGTAACGAATAAAAAAATTTTTTTCTTGTATCTGTGTTCCGGTTCTGCATGCACCCTTAAAACTCATCGTACAACAGGCGGCTCACATCAGGGGCGAGCGCAAATGTGGCATCATCTACTATTTCACAGACGCCATTGCTGCGGAGGATGAACTTGCGGCTCTCATCGAACCAACGTATTTCGTACTGGTCACTCACAAACACCTGCACAGCCCCGTTGGAGAGCAGGAAGGCACTCAGAGAACGCTCACTGTCGAAGCGGAACCAGCGGACGTACACGAATGGATCCCCTTGGCAACGCACCGCCGTCTGCGTATTCCGGTAGACGGAGATGGTGCCAGGGGCCCGGTGCTGCTTTAGCATGTTGCAGTCGTAGGCGACAACGCGCTGAAGGAGGTTAAAGGCGTTCTCCACGCTACATTTTGCTTGCACCAATGAGACCGCCCGTGCCGCATCTCTGTTCTCATAGGTGTCCACGTAGTCCACAATAAGCATTTGCCGCTCTAAAACCGAAATTACTGCGGAGTGCATGGAAAAGCTGTGGTTCAAAAATATGGCGCCAGTACGTCCCGGCTGGATATGGTATGTAAAGGCAACTGGCTCCACATCTTCCTCCTCCACAGGGAAGAGATGAAAATGACGAATCCAGTCACCATGGAGTAGCGCCTCACGCTCCTCCGCCGTCGGCTGAACAGGCCTGTAGCTCACCGACAAGCGCTCCATCGGCTTCCATTGGCCTTGCGGCAGTGTGTTGATGGGCCTACTGAACAGCGACGAGGACGACGGTGATGTTCCAGACGCACCTTCATTCTGTACCACATGCTCTGCCTTCACTTTCTTCTCGTTAACAACTGCACCCTTGGCTGCTTCCACTACTGATGTTGTGGTGCCAAGTGTGCTGGCCTTCCCTCGTCTTGCAGTGCCAGCTCGCGTTGCAGATTTCGTTGATGTGACGTTGCTGCTCAAAGACTGCGGATGTATCTGGGTTGAGGTCCTCCCTCTACTCGCTGACGTTGCCGCCGCCGGGGCCCCCACCACTTTGCAGGCGCCCTTTAGACAATGATCGCGCAACGCCACGCTGTTCTCGTACACATTGCCGCATGTGGCACAAGTACACTGCTTGCTGTACGTCTCATGGCAGTCCAGACACAAATCTCTGCCGCAAGAACAGTGAAAGAAGTGGATGTTTTTTCCATCTGGGAGGAACTCGAAATCACACAAGTCGCAAACGAAGCCGTACTGGTACTTCTTGCTGATACGAGTTGTCTCTTTAAAGCGGTGCGGATGTGCGGCAGACCGCCGCTGCTCCTCTGCGAGCCATATCATGCTGAACCGCTCCTGACTCTCCTCAATAGCAATGCGAAAGCCACCCAAGAGGCATTTATGTCTCAAGAGCAACTCCTCCTCTTCGGATGCACGCACCGCAGTCTCTCTGGCAATGAGAACAACAAACTCTTTATCGATCAATGCACTTTTATCGTTCTCTGCTCTCGGTCGTTTCGACGGCACAGCGTCAAGTGAGGCAGGCGCCATATCTTCAGCAGCTCTCTTTGCGCCTCCTTTCCCCCTGGGTGCCCTCGACCCTTTACGCACAGCAGTGCCGCCCTTAGTGCATGGGGCAGGGACCTCCTTTGGAGGTTCATCATTTCTGTTGGTTTCATTCTTCATTGGAGTGGTGGACTGACCTACTGTCTTCGCATCCCTTGTGTGCCCATCCTGCACAAGTGCCCATTCCGAAGAAAACATTTCCCTCCTCTTTTCCTCAACTTCCACCGTTTCCTTTGAGTCTTCATCTTTGCCGTGTGTTTCGGATGTAGGATTCCCACCACGGTCGGCCACACCTTCCCTCTTGACCTTTTCGTCGTCCTCATTCTCGTCACTGCGATGCACCGTCGCCAAAGAAGTGGCACGGGAATTTGCACAAGAGTTTGCACGAGAACGTGTTCGGGAGTTTCCGCGCACCACCGACGCTGCGCCGTCCTTCGACTGCCTTAAACCACCCCGTCTGCACATTTTCGCCGTCTCCTCGGCTAGCACCACGGATATCTCGCGAATAGGCTTCTTCTGCTTCGCTTCAGGTCGAAAGTCGTACACCTGGTGTGTTGGCAGACCGCCAACCGCCGTTTCCTTCTTGGCCACAAACTTCAGCGACGATCGCTGATCCGTGTCGTCCGCATCCGCGTCAGGGCTATTCGCGCGGCTACCCATCAGACTGGCAGTAATATCTGCGCTGCGCTGCTCCACGGCTCGCAGCAGCTGCGCCTCATCGTGTGACAGCAGAAAGTCGTCCTGCACACCCAGGAACGCAGTGACGGCGGCGGGCGGAGAGCGACGCCGCAAATTCCATATGGGTTTGCTGAGAATGGCTAGGATATCCGGCCGTTTCTCAGGGTCGCGGACGAGAATAAATTCAACCAGTTGCCGCATATTGTTGGAGATGCTACAGCCCACCGGCCACCGCCAGTCCCCAGAAGCCACACGGCGGAGGAGGCGTGCATTATCTTTCTGTAGCGTGTTGGATGCCGCACCACCTCCATCATCATCATCATCATCATCATCAGAACCTGGGGACGTGAGCGAGCATGTCTTCGCTGGGTAGGGGTTACGCTGTGTGAAAATCGAGAAGAGGACGATGCCAGCCGACCAAACATCTGCCGCAGCGCCAACAGTAACCCGCTGATCTCTGTGCAGGGCGTTGTGCGCCATTTCCGGGGCCATGAACGAAACAGTACCCGCCACTACGTCTCCCGGTGGCGGGTTCCACACACTTGACGCCAATCCGAAGTCTATGAGTTTCAGATTACCGTCTAAATCAAACACAAAGTTCTGAAGTTTAACGTCTCTATGAATGCACCGCTGCTCGTGAACACATGCAACGGCCTGTAGAACCTGGTAGGCGATGAATAACATGTCAGCTTCATTGGTAAGACGCGTTGCGAGGAGCAAATCGTGCAGCGTGCACGGCACGCAGAGCTCCATACCAACGGCAATAAGATCACCTGCCTTATTAATAGCGCCAAATTCAAACCGGGGCAGTAGCAGCTTCCCTTTTGTGCAGGCCTTGCTAAGGACCTCAAGCTCTTGGCGAAGCCGTGCGCTCTTCCCGGTGGCGATCTTTAGCGCCAGCCTAGGGTACTCTTCACACATGGCACGGTAGACGGTGCCGAAGGACCCTTGGCCAATCCGCTCGCAGGTTCTTATTGACAGTAGCTGTCCCCGCGCAGAGCCACGCTGCGGAAGCCGGAGCTCCACATGCCGCACATACTCGCCATCGTGCGATATCTTCTCTACGGTTCCCAGCATTTGGTGGACCCCACCCGCTCTTTAGAGCTTTGCGACAACCAAGAAGGAAAACCAGCTAACCAGCCCCCCNCCCCCCCCCCCCCCACACACATAATAACAACAACAACCAAAAAAAAAAGAGAAAAGAGAAGGGATATGCAAAGGAAAGCACAAACCGAGAGAGAAATTTAAAAAAAAAAAAAAGAGTGACAAGGAGGGACAAGGGAAGCAAAAACAGTCTCATCACGTCTAAATTCCGATGTGGGAATCTACTCGTCGTCACGAGAGCATCACACACTATCGGCAAAGGATGGATGCGCCGCCACGTGGATAAACTCCTTTTGTGTGTTCACATCAGTGAGACACTGTAAATAGTGTAAACTCTTTGCTGACCTCAGCTTCTTTCGCATTGCGAGACTGGATGTGTACTTCTGCAGCAGCTGCCTCAGATACAGCTGTACCTCCTCCTCCAACAGCAGGGTGCGCACTGTTGGGACGGTCCCACAACCTCCGTCACATTCCACTAGCGAGCGTGTGACGAACAGGTGCACAGCTAGTGCATCCCTGAGGCACTCGTTGAGGAGTTGAAGCTCGTCCTCCAGCACACGGCGCCCTGTCAGACCAGTCTCCATTCCTCACACCAAATGAATAAAGGGAGACGTAAGCAAACCAAAAAGAGAAGGAAAGAGCAAAAATGGGATTTTCCCGTATCAGCACAGAGAGAGAGAAAGAGAAAGAGCAATAAAGAGACCACAGCCCGCGCGAGCCCGGAAATGGGAATTGAATCCGGAGCAATGATGGTAGAGGAGATAGTTTTTTCAAAAGGCTACATTGCGGTGTGCATTGACACAGCGGGCAAACACTTCCAAATCAGCAGTGGTAATTGCTATTCCACAGTACATCCAGATTGAGGCCACTTCCAACGTGCTCCCAAATGGGGGGGGGGGGGG